CCCCCCCACCCCCCCCCAGATGATGGGCTCCCTGTTGCTTTCTGAGCTGGGCTGCTTTCCGCAGACATTAATTCATTAATCGCCCAGCCAAGTAACCTGATTGTGGTTTGAATCAAAGTTTGCGGAGAGGAGGACGGGGGCTATGGGGGTCCTTAGCGCTCTCTGAGCTGGCTTGTTTCGTGGCAGGCATTTCATAACCCAACTAGGTAACATCATCAGGGCTAGAAGGTGAGTTTGTTTCTCTCTGTTTACATACAAGTCACTTTCCCTGTCAATGTTGGTGGGAATGTTTTTTTTTTTGGGAGAGGAGGGCTAACCAAACAGTTAGCATATAACCCCTGCTAGTATATAATATAACTTAAGGCAATACTTCTATAAAGCTTCTATATAAACAGTAAATCCCACTCCCTTTCAGCACAGATGACGTTATCTAGCTGGGCCATGAAAATGTCTACGGCTTCTCCATATTCTTCTATTTGTTCTTCTAATTTTGGCCCAGTTGCTTGTGGTTCTTCCAAAATAAACACTTAAAATCGTCTGCAAACACCCGTAGTTTGTATTCCAAGTAGCTTGAAGCCCCCAGGACCTCCCCCAGGCCCAACCCTAAGCTACCAATACAGGCCGTCCTCCGCTTATGACCACAATCGAGCCCAACATTTACGTGGCCAAGTGAGAAACTGGTTAGGCTTTGCCCCGCTTTACGACCTGCCTTGCCACATTTGTTAAGTGCATCACGGCCATTGTCAAACCAGTAACACGGTCGTTAAGTGAATCTGGTTTTCCCGATGAAACTTTTTGCTCGTCAGGAGGTCACGAAAGTTGATCGTGCGACCCAGGGACATTGCGACCGTCGTAAATACGAGTCCGTTGACAAGCATCCAAACATAAAACCATGGGGAGGCTACAGTGGTCGTTAACTCTGAAAAGTCACTTTTTTTTTCCAGTGCCATTGTCCCTTCGGTCACTAAGTGAACTGTCGTAAGCCGAGGACCCCCCTGTATTCCCTTCTATCGATTCAGAGATTCCAATTTTGACCCGGTCTTCCACTCCCATGCTGGGAAAAGGGGTGAGATCCGTTCCGTTTTGTTATACAGTGTTTATTAAGTAGATTCAGTCTTATATGATATACAGACTCCAAAAAAAAAAAAAAAAAAATCCACATACTTATGAAATCAGTGCATTTAGCAAGTAATACCATGAAAGGAACCGCTTTGATTTAAACAGCTCGTTGGTCTTCTCATATTTTTTTTTCTTTTTAAGTGAATAGGACAAGGAGATTGGCCTGTGCTACTCATTTCACAAACAGAACAGAATTTTTTTTTTAAGTTCGCGTCACGTAAAACCCAAAAACACTGCGAGCTAAGAATTAAAAATATTAAAGCCACGTTTACTGGGAAGAAGGGGCCAAAAAACAAAAAATTAAAATTAAAAGGATCCACTGTCTAAAACACAAAAAGGGGGAACAAAAATAATTAAGATTTCCATCGCACGTTGAGGAAGGAGAGGGGGGGGAAAAAACACCGCAACCACCATTACCCTCATCTGCTTAGCGAGAGCCACGTGAAAATTTGCATAGGTCGTCCGTTAGGAAGGAAGGAGGAGCGAAGGTTTGTGATAAGATTGGCGCAGGGGGAGGAGGGCTGCCTTCGCCCGCTGCTTTTAAGTGCCTTGGGGGGGTTTTTTCCGCCCTCCATTTCTGGGGAAGGGGGAAATGGCTGGGCTTGGGTCCACTGTATAACTGCACTGGAGGGCTACTGTTTTGGCCACCCTCTTCCTGGCAGTTGGAGGGGGGGGGTCCTGCCGGCCATTCATGAAATCCCCTGGACTCTCCTGCAGTTTTGGCTACAGGGGGATGCCTCGGCAAGCAACCTGATGCTCCCCAGCTGCCCGCAGATCATCATTCGTGTGGGTTTACGAGCGCCGGGTTCTACGAGCCACCCTCGAATAAGAGAGGCCATATTGTTACCTGGCCTTTGCTTGAATTCGGGGTGTCCAGCCTCAGATATGTGTCCTTTCAACTCCCTGAATTCCCTGACATTAACGCATTCCTTTTTCATTTGGGCCCGCTTACTCTCTTACGATCCTTTTCTCTGCAATGGGAGGGGGAAAAAACCCATGCAAGGCTGGCTGGGGAATTCTGGGAGCTGAAGTCCACAATGGTTAAAAGTTGCCAAGATTGGACCTCTGTGGCATTTAGCCGTTCCGGGGACAAACGTGGCCGGCCGCTAAAAAAAAGCCCCCCTCTAGCAGCCCAGCCCCATGGGCATCGGGGAAAACAGGTAAACGGATCTGTGGCCACGCTAAGCAGATGAGGCAGGCGGGTGAGGTGGGGGGGGGGTTCTACCTCGCCAAGATGAGGGTCTCGCCGAACACAGAGGGGCGCTGGGAGTTTTTTCTGTACATGTAAACAGTACACTTTCACTGAGTCCAAAGTCAGAGGAAAAAAGTACAAAGAATTCACATTGGTCTTAGGTACAATTACAGGTGAAGAAGAAAGAACGAGCGGAGCAACTCCGCTTGGAGAACGACCACCGAGAGAGAGAAAGAGAGAGAGAAAAACTCTTTTTTTTTTCCTTTTCTAAAAGCACCACGAAAAATGGTATAAAAAATCATTCAGACCATGGACAGATTGTTTAAATCGGTTATTTTTCTTTTTTTTTTTCCTGGTGGAAATCGCTAAGACTACCTTTGTAAAAAGTCTTACAAAAAAACAAATAAGCAAAGTTGTATTTTTTTTTTCTTTTTTCAACCCTCTGAGTTCAAAGCAGCATTTTTTTCTGGGAAAGGTTAATAATTGAGGGGGAGGGAGGGAGGGACGGCCAGCTAAGACAAAAAAACCGGGCCTCTAAAAGATGGGGCAGGAGGCTTGGGAATGGGGTTTGGTGGGCACTCTCGCGGGAGGTCCCGCCAATGCCTTTCCCCGGGGTTCAAATGCTGCTTTCGGAGAGCGGGAAAGGGGGCGCTCGCCTTGCGAAGCCCCCCCTCCTGTGCCAAGTGCCAAGAGAGCAGTGGCTGAGCCCCTCCCACAAATACACCCCGGAAAAAGAGAGGGTATTCCTGGTGGGGTCAGAATCTAGCACCCTGCCCAGGTGTCCCGAGAATCTTAGAAAAAAACATGGCTTGTAGGATCAACCTTTTCGGATCCAGAGACGGATGGCTAAAAGTCAAACTCGAGGTGGGGCAAGGGACCACCTCTTGACGATCTCGGGGAGCCCCTTCGGAGCATGTAAAAACAGGGTAGGGGTGGGGGAAGAAAGGGAGAACCACCAGCCGGCGCTAAGGGTTAACCTCGAATTACATCAAGGGAGTTTTCGTCGGGGTCATCAGCCACCCCCTTCCCCCCCCAAAAAAAAATTGCAAGGCCACCCCCCCCCCATCCCCAAATCCAGATGTGGATGGGGGTGGGAACCTTCACGTGTTGCCGGACGGGCGATTGTCTCTGCCGCTGTTACACACCCTAAGGGTTTGCAGGAGGGTGGTTGCGGGTCAGACCTGGCACAAGTAACTATTTACACAAAAGTCGGGTGGGACCCTCGGGGTGGGTCGGGGGGGAAGGGGGCTGGAGGAGGGCCACATCAAGGGAGAATGAATAGGATTGCTAGTGAAGACAGGGATCCTGTCCTCCCCCTGGTAGATACACACCCCTGGGTTTGGGGACAGCTGGGGGTGGGGGCAAGAGAGGACAGCCCCTTCTCTGTCTCCAGGCCTAGCAAACCCTTGGGGAGCAAGTGGTCCCGGGTTCAAATCCCAGCCTGGCTCTGGAGCACCAGAGAGGGAAGATGGGCTTAGAATTGGGAGTGTCCAACCTTGGCCACGTTAAGCCCGGCGGATTTCGACTCCCAGAATTCCCCAGCTGACAAAGCTGGGGAATTCTGGGAATCGAAGTCCGACGGGCTTAACATGGCTGAGGTTGGATGCCCCCAGCTTACGAGAAACCTACAAAACCTTAAAATTCACCCCGGCTCCTCCGTCCCTTCGCGTTACATATAGCAGCATGGTCAATATTGCACTGAGCAAAACAGCAAGTGCATTTGCATTTCCAAGGGGGGAGGTTGGAGGAGGAAGAGGAGGAGAAAAAAAGGGGGTCTCGAACCCGTTGCACCCACCGACACACACACACACCAAAAAACCAGGCTCCGGCGGCCGTTGGATGCTTCTGCTTTTGCAAACCTGCCAGTGTGACTCCAATGCCCCCCCCCCTCAGTTGCCCCCATCCACACGCTTTCTGTTTTTGGAGGTGCTTTGCCGCTCTCGCAAGCCTTGCAACCAGGGGGCAAACTTCGGACTCCCCGAAAGACTCCTGGGGCCAGCAGGGAGCACTCGGGAGTGAGGTAGAGTGTGGAGAAGGAGGAGGAAGGCTGACGCTACGGAGCTTTGGCCCTTGAATGAGTCTTGCAATTCCTCCCGAAAAGACGGGCCCCGGTGTGGCTCCCACCCCAGGCAAAAGTGGGGATCGAGTGGCCCAAAGGAGGGGGGGGGTTGTAAAAAAAAAAAAACACCTGAAAACAGAGACCGCTTTGTCCCCCCCCCCACTGCCCTGCTGGCTCCCAAGCCTGGCCAGTCCCTTCAGCGGGACGGCAGGTGGAAATATGGTGCAGGCTCAACACCCCCCCCCCTTCCTTCCCTCAGAGAGACGCACAAAAATAAAAAATAAAAATGGCAATTCTGTACAAACTCAAGAATGCTTTTTTTTTTCCTTTTTTTTTTAGAAAAAAAAATAAATTATGGGGAGAAAGAACGGAGGTGGGGGAGGGCAGGAGGGACGGGGTGCATTTCTCAATAAATATGCAATTCCAAAGATGGAAGGAAAGGGACGGGGGGGGGGATGGAAAGAGAACGGGGAAGAGGGGCTCTACCGTTGCCGGTGGGCTCCACGAGAAAAATCCCGACTCTGCCAGAAGCGCTCTGCCAGCCCGAAATCCGCTCCTGCTTCCCCCAAACCCACCGTGGGTCCCCATTATTTCCAGGCGGCGAGGCTGGCTCCGGTTGGCAGAGGGTTGGTGTAGCTTTCAAAGGCAGAAGAAGGGCTCCAGGTCGAAAGAAGAACAAGAGGATTTCTCGAGGGTGGGGGTGGGGTCTCCAACCTGTGCCG